ACAAGATCTTCAGGTAGGTGCGCAAGCAGGAGCTAATACCTTGCGACATTGGGGTCAGACAAGATATCTATAAAAGTAGGAGGGGTATAACTATCGAATAATCAAAAAGATGTTCACTTTCTGTCACGGTAAATATGGCTTTCGGACCCTCACAGATGGTGGCAGCCTCGAAAACGCCACACTGTACGAACGTGAAAAAGGAACCCTAATGACATACGCGAGGGCGAATTCAAGGCTATAAGATGCCATTTCGACAAAAAACAGCTACCTCCAGGTCACTGAAATATTCAAATGACCAACAACAGAAGTGATAAGAGGCATTTTCGGTAGCTAATAACGGTATTACGATGGAATTTGTAAAAGCATCGAAAATCCATAGCAAACACCATGCTCTCCAAGCAGTTACTTCTCGGCAGGTATGAGTTTTGTAGGCGAATGAAAGGACGCGCATTTGAAAACCAGCTTCCTGGCATGCCATCTTAGGAGTATGCTGCATGCTAGCGAATATTACATCACTTAGGCAATCTGTCTTAGTCATAAGACAAGTTGAATGTGTTTGATTCCCTTAAATGTCATGAACACAAATACAGAAAAGATGCTTTTTTCATGTAGACAAATCAGAAGAACCGCAAAAATAAAGCGGTCCCTTCCTGCGCTACTGCACCTAGCAACCGAAGCAAAACAACGAACACACTAACGGCAGCAGCGGATGAGGAAGATGCAATGGAATAGGGGAATGACAATATTTTCTGTTTTCTTAGTTACCAAAGCAGACTAAACGTACTGTAAACTTTCGTCTTCTCGTCGAGCAATTGAGTCTCGCAGAGCGTGGAGTTGTTTGAGTGCGTACAGTTGCCTCTTGTTTAGACTGTTTCCACTTGACATCTTGTACAGTGAGAGGTAACCAAGCGGATCAAATTTCGGCTTTTGGTATATCTAGGAAAAATAAAGCGGAAAATAGAAGAAGCTTAGAGACTTGACGATGTAGTGGGCAGGATTCAGATGGATAGGAAAGAAAAGTGTTTGGTTGGTTAATTATTCAATCTAACATACGCGCAGGCAGAGCTCACGGCTGCGTTCCATGGCCGACTGAAGTAAACCCCGATCAGAGAGATGACCGCGGAGCTGTTCCGCAATATAGAGCAGATAGTGTGTATCTGAACGAGCGTACTGAAGCAACTCCTGTGGAAGAGGTCTGTGTGCAAAGAAGGAAATTAGCTTTAGGTAGGGCAAACAAGAGAAAGAGTTGATTGTCTGCGAGCGGGCCCATTGATCTGATTAAACTGCAGGACAGAATAGAGGTGTTCCGTACTGTTTCATCTATGTGGTCTTTGATATCCCCAACCGCAGCCGACGGTGCCTGAGCTGGGGAGCTTCAGTAATGGGGTACGTGAGCAAAGGACCAGGTGAACTTAGGACACAAGTTGGGGAATGGGTGATTGCCACGGACAAACCACTCAGAAGTCGACATTCGTGTTTCCTCCATCTTTATCTGTGACGCTTGAAAATGAGTACTTAGCTTTGTTCGCGTAAATTTATAACTATTCTTTTTAAGAAGTCAGTTCAGTAGAATAATAAAAAGCTAAAAGGCGACTCAAATGAGTTGAATGGTGCGTCGCATTGGCATGTATTTGTCAAGTAATAAAGAACACGGGAATCTTCGGCCTCAGGTGGTCTATTTAGAGTTTTTTGGCCAGCACCGAAGTGAACGCAAAGTTGTGTGCTTGTTAGGGTCGCTCGTTGCTTTACCAGTTACTCCGTTATTTGCAGGCAAGCTCAACATAAAGCTATAAAAACTGCTCAGAAAAAAAAATATGCCTGCTGGTGAGGGAGTTGTAGAAAACAAAGCGAAACGGAGACATAAAAATTCTGCTCATGAATTTAAAAACTAAAATGGTTCAATTCTTGAGAGAGGACGACTGTAAAACGGCATACGAAACTGCCAGTAACGAATCACGTTAGGTTACGCAATCGGTGATCAATCCGCTAGTCCCCGATTGCAAACGACAAGACAGCGAGCACGCGGCTTAATACATCAGGCATTTAACTTCCAACCAACAGGTCTCGGATTCGATCCTCGGGGTTGCAACATCTGGAGTTGCGTATGGTTGGTTGATAACGGCTAATAAGCCAGAAATGGCCATTCCAGTCTGCCTCGTCTTTATCAATAAAGCTACTTTGCTGAAAACAACACTTATTTGAAGTAAATTCCATTGTTCTTATCCTTACAATCGTCCGAGTTTCTCGAAAAATTCCATCTAGTAGTAACATTAGGGTTCGGTTGCACTACTCCGACGAACATCACATCAGAAAACTAAATGTGGTAGCATTTCTGTGGTGTGAGTTACCTTATTTTTAGCCATGAAAAGCCATGAAGACTGACAATATAAAGTAACGGCACCTTTGGGTAGATGGTGTGCACCACAGGGGTACAAAGTTACACCGATCAC